TGCACATGATTTATTAGGTTATTTATATTATAATGGTGAAGGAATAGAAAAGGATTGGCATTTTATTGGTATCAAAAAGCAGCAGAAAATGGCAATGAATTAGCAAAGTATATTTTAGATATATGTTATCAAGATGGAAAATGAACTGATAAAAATTTAGAAAAAGCATTCTATTGGTATCAAAAAGCAATATCAAGATGGAATTGGAATAAAAAAAAAAATTTAGAAATTGCTTTTACTGGTTCAAAAAGCACCTGAAAAGGGAGATATAATCTTATTGAATCACGAATAGAGGTTGGAGCCAATTTGATTTCGAAAACCCGGTTTAAACTTAAGCCAAATCCAACCCGGTGTTAACCCGATTTTGAACCGAAACCAAGTTAACCAAACAACAAATAAAATCTGACCCTAAGAAAAGATTTATTTAACTTTTTCTTAATACAATTCTTTGTGTAGTTGGTTATTTGTCAAGTCTATATGGAGACACGATAAAGGTTGAAAGTGTAAATTTTCTCAACTTTATTCTTTGATCAAAGCGGATTTTTGGGTTTATATACAAAATTTCTAAATAACTTTTTCTATTTTAAAATAAATATAACGAAGATGTCTAATATAATTAACGATAACTATGTTTATTTAAAACCGAATCAAACCGAAAATCGAATCGAATTAAACCGGTTGAACCGGTTTGAATTAAGTTATTTTATATTTGATTCATGAATTATAACTTTAAAATTTTTTATTCGTATTACAATTTTTCAATAACGCAAAAATACCAATTTTTATTAATGCAACATATACACCATTGAGCATTTTCCAAATATAACACACGCCACGCCACGTTTTTTACATCCACTAATAAGATTATGAATATTCAAATTAAGAATTAATCCAATCTAAGTACAAATTTTCATAGGATTAATATTTTATAAAACTAAATTCCAAAAAAACAAGAAATTCAATTTAAAATTCGAACAAGTTTGTGCAAATCGGATGCAACCAGTTTAACAGCGAAGAATCGGTTTTAAACCGAATTTAAAATCGGATTGATACCTCTAATGTGAGGCAAAGCATTTGATTATTTTCAATCAATAAATAAATCTCTAAAAGTATTTATTTTTGCGTCTTTTTTATTGGATGTCATTAATTTTAATAATTTATAAAATATTGAATATAATCATAGAATTTCGCCGTTTAGAGCAGGAAGAATGCTAAGCTAAGCTACCAAACTTACATTTATAATAAAATTTTCGGTAGTTGACTGAACTTGAGCAAGAGCAATTTCCATTTTGTCTTTAATTAAAATAAATTTAAGTAACAATTATTTATTTTAAAAATTAAATACAAGAAATGATACATACCTGAACCATTGATTTTCAATTCAGTAAAATCAATATTTAAAGATTCTATTACATAAAAATGTTTAAATTAGGGTGAAATTAATCTACATAATCCTAAAAAGAAATTTATGAAATTTTTTTTTTTTTAAGGCAAAGAAAGTTCATAAATACCTGAATATTTCATACATGATATATCATTGTATTGTTTATAATAATCAACTGAATTTTTTGGTTCAGGAAGATTATTAAAATTAAGTAACCTACTTGTATATGTGGCTTCAGGATGCGTTTTATATTTCACAGCTAAATTGGTTGAAAGAAACCTGCTTGATCTATTGTTAGCTAGTTCCGCTTCTTTG